CCTAATCCCTTTCCTTTTACACATTTCTAAATCTGTATCTTTAACCACAAATATATACCCCAATGGGTTTTACAGCATAGAACTAGACTGAAAAGATAATGAAAGGAAAGCAGATGCTGTAGATAGGAGCAGCATACAAATAAAGGTCTGCTTTGGAGTCCTGATCTCTCCAGAGTATTTGCTGACTCTTCTTGCTCATTTCCTTTTCACAAGTACAAGTGCTACAGCATTGCAAAGAAGAGTCAGAAATCAAAGAAACTGAGTAAGAGCAGACTCAACTCTTACTCTACAAAATACTTACAGGGAAATGAGAGGAAAATAAGTGGATCAAAAGCGAAACTTTGTGGTATGGAAAACATAAAATTTTACTTGCTGTAAAACCTTACTGGGAGTTATTCAAAACATAAGAACAAAGACGTCAAATACAGAACAGCAATAATTTTTCCCCAAGTGGGCTTCTGTCCAACATATGAAATATCTAAGAAGCAACCCATGCAATCTTAATGTTTCAGTCACTACAAGTTCGTTCATGATTGATAAAAACTCCCTGTATTTTTCTCGTATTTCTCATAATTACGGAGAACATTTTGTATTTCCTGCAGCCTCTTCTGACAAGAGGAGAATGATGTGTCTTACTGCGGTTTATCATCGAAAGACCTCTCAGGACACAGCAAAGACGACTAAATAAAACAGGAAGACTGCAAAGAAGAGGGAAAAAAAAAAGATGTTCAAGAGAAAATGTTCCTATTTCTTAAATCACAGCAGGTGCCTAATACTTGGTTGTTGAGAGAGCTAATTATCCCACAAGAGCTTTTTCTACTTGTATGCTTCCACTATAGCTATGCGTTTTTCCTAGATGAGATCCACTTAGGCACAATTGGGAGCCTTGGCTAGCTTCTCAGTATTAAATCACTTTCCAGAGCATGTACAGATGCCCTGTGATCATGATTTACCCTCCCACTTGCAGATTTGCTTTGGTCCTGCAAACTGCTCAGAAATTATTTGTACACATCCAGGGCAGTTGGATTGTTTCTGGCAGTTAAGAGTGGGCACTGCATTTCCAGGGGTGCAGCCTTCATGATTAGTTTCATTACTTCCCTCCCACCGGTTTTTTTCTTTCCTCCTTTCTGCGATTTCAAACAGATACCCACAGTAGATGTTTCACACTTTCAGCCTGCCATGTGCATGCTGTCCTATCAGCATCTGCTCCTCTGGCATGCACATACATGCTACAGGGAGCATGCTTGCTCCTCTGACACCTCCCAGGAAGCTTCAGCAACTCTCCTTCAACATATCCAGTATCTCTGGGGGCCTTAGAAAAACTGCCCATGGCTTTTTTTCAGCGTTGCTTTCCCAGGCTTTGTCTTCCTTGGATTTACCAGTCAGAAATTTCTAACAGCATGGCTCCTTTTCATGACTCACAGCAAACACACATCTTTGTTCTATTTCACTCCTGCCTGGATTAAAAGGGAAAATGATGATTTTACAGCAGGAAGTCCCAAACAGCACCATTTTCATGCTTACACCAGCCAGTTGCCACCAGCTGCATGGCTGCAGGCTTAATGCTGCTCTCTTCATAAGGGAAATGTCTCCTGCTGCATAGCAAAACAGGCTGCAGGCCTTTCAAAGCTGCTCTGGTGGTGAAGAGATGAGTCACCTCAGGCTACTGCCACACGGAGGAAACCAAGCTGACAGCTCAGCTGCACACAACTGCATTAAAAGCACAAAAATAGAGAATTATACAAGGCAGCACCAAAGCTGGTTGCACACATCAGTGTGAGCCAAAGTCACTCCTCCTCCAGGAGGGAGGCACTCCGTTCACCAGCCCAAGCACTGCAGGCTTTGCTGCTAATAGGATCATTTCTTTCTAAAACATTCCCCATGGCAGTAGCCCAGGAACACGCACAGCTAACTCAGGCTGAAAGGGAATTTTCCACCACCCACAAGCCTCTTTCTACCTTAAATCAATAAATCTTCTCAAGCACAAGCCACAAAGAATCCACACCAGTCTCTGCAGATGACACGTAACAAGTAATTGGACAGGATAAATCTCCAGCAACCAACTCCCATGTCAAGTTTCCTTTGCAACCTCATTTCAAAAAAGCACATGTTAACTTTACACCTCCTTCCAGCTCCCTTCATATTGCTCTAACAAAAAAAAAGGATGGGGGCTTAGTATAAGTCACTATAAGGCCATTAAGCAGAAAGATCATTCCCTCTCTCTCTGTCAATTAAGAGATATCAGATACAGGCAGATACACTGGCAAGACATCCTTTTTCATCTGAGAAAATAAGCTTAAGCAATCCCTATATAATCACTCTTTTTCTCGGCAAACTTTCTGGAGCACAGATAAGATCAAAGGCTGCTTTCCCAGCCAACAAAGTTATTAACACCTCAAGGAAAAAGTGATGTTGCACAAAAGCCAGAGCTGTCTGATGGCTTCCCTAATCTGAGGATGGAGACACACGGAGCAGCAGGGAGCCTTACCCCCAATACAAACAGGGCAGCTTTTGCATATGAATCAGAAAACAACATGCTTTTTTTGGGAAGAATACATATTTTCGAGACATTTTCTCTGACAGAACAGTTCCCAAAATAAAAAAAAAAAGCACATGTATTTTTAACTACAGAAAAACATCTTCATGGCACGCAATCAGAAAGCACAGCAGTGACAATGCACTGTGTGTTGAAGTTGAAAGGAAAGGAGACAGGCATTGCCATAAAGTTGTTTCACAAGCAAGTGAATCCTGAATCCATTTTCACAAGACAAACCCTCTTTCTCCCAAGATCTCAAAAATCCCAGTCAGCTCAATTTTAGTATGAAGATAACAGACGATGGAATCCATTTTAATTTAATTTTTGTCTCTGTTAGCTGAGACAGGAGGCCAAACTGTAGGGAGCACTAGGGAAGAGAGTCCATTAGAAACCAGGAGCTCCATACAAGCAGATACAGTAAAACTGTTTCCCATCTGTACTTTTGCTAAAGCCAACATACAGCATGGACTCTGATGTATAAGAAGTGTTTTTCCTCCTATTTTCAAGACAATTACTTCAACTCACTACCCCTTGACTTTTTTTGCAAAATGTGGTTAAAATGGGCCAAAGGATTCAAAAGCTGCTGAGGAGAGACAAGAAAGAGACACAGATGCACAAAGTAAGGATGTGAATTTGTTTTCTGAATCTGTAACAATAATAAGAAAGGAGAAAGAATAATCTGGGCCAGCAGTTCCAAAAATATGACATAAGTATCATCTGCAGTTTGAAAGTGATATACAAATAACATCTGAATAGCCAAATTATGTTTGCACATGCCACTGAGACTACATTTATAAAAGCCTTGTGCAAAGTACAATCAAGCTAAAGCAAACCACAAGCATTTAGTTTATCATAACTAGCACAGCAATGGCATCCTCCCTAACACAGCACACTCTGACCATCCTGCCTGCACTGCACCAATTTAAGGAGAGCCCTACCACATCTTGCCAAGGACCACCATGGTATACAAGTTCCCTCAAGAGACTTGCCAAAATTGCACTATTGTTACTTCAGCCACGTAAGGAAAAAAAACACCCCACGCTTCTAAAAAGAAAATACAGCTCAGGAAAATGTAACTGAAAGGACAAACTTCGCATTTGAACTGAAGAAATGATAATGTACATTCCAGTTCCAGCCTGAAAAGCATGGGAACACAGAGATGGGAGAGGATTATACACCTCTGTCTAGGTCAGTCCATAGCTCTGTTGACTGATGGCTGGGATAACTCTCAATGCAGAGAAATCTATCAGAAAAAATTATTACTTAATATTTATGTATTGGCAATTTTTATGTCTGGCAATTTTTAAGCAAGCAATACATTAAATAATTTACCAAGAAAAGCATACATTGCCTTCCGTGTGATCAGTAGTTTATACTTTCAGAGGAAAACAATTCTACTTTATTAAACTTTAAGGCCTGAATTTACTAATACATTATTCACTGTTACATTTTAAATTGGCAGCAAGTTAATCAATCAGGTTATTAGCTTCAAAATGCATTTTATCAGTGCATTTTGCTAAGTTTCCATATTAAGAAAACCACAGAAAAACCTGGAGCTGTTAACATCTTTTATCATTGGTTAAGAACTAACAAGTTAGGGCACTGTAATTGTTGTCAAAAAAACCAAAACAAACCAACCTGAAAAATACCCTACCTTCCAACTTTGCCACCCTGGATTATTCTCTTGCTAACAATGCCCAGTTAATGATTCTCCTTTATTTCAGTTCATCTGTTCAGATCTTTCTAAAATAATTTCCAGCTACAACAGGGCTTCCGGTTTGTGGGTAGCAGCACGTCAGCTTGGCACAGCTTTCCTTTTACACAAGTACAAGATGCTTCCTTGTGTTAATACAGAAAGCTATCAAAAACATAAACAGTGGCTGGATTTAAAAGCAGATTCCATAGCAGTGGCTGTCATTAGCATTTCTAGCCAGCAACATTATGCTGATCTGAAAATAAATATTTTGGGACTATGATTTAAAAAATACAGTTCACATACTCACTGCAACTGAGCAATTCCTGTATTTCATATTTGGTCTCTCTTCCATGGCCTGCAAGATGAAGTGGCAGCATACTGATTTTTATTGCTGATAAACTCAGAGAAGAGATTGCTCTTTATAAGACATAATGCAAACACAAGCAAATATGATGGTTGCATCCACTTTAAAAGGTTCTTTTTTTTTTTTATGCATAACTTGGTACACAAATTTCGGCAACACTTAAACTTTTGGCAAATAGCCAATTTACCATATCAGTAACATAAATGTTAGTCATTTTTCACTTGAGACACCATGGCAGTGAATCACTGGAAAAAAATCAGAGACTCATCTTGTCTCCTTCTCTTCTTTAGCAGCAGGGAGATGAATTTTCAGAGTGGGATAAACTTTCTTCTCTGAGGTACTGAACTGAGCAAGACTGACTATAAGAAAAAGGTGGATTGTTAATCCAAGTAAGCAACTCTTTAATATGACATCTTGCTTTTGTAACTTCTTTATTAATTTTAACTGTTAGAAGAAAAGACAGGTTAAATTGTGTGAGAGCATCTTGTCATTATTATATGTGCTCCCACAAATACAACTGATATTTTAAATTAATTTTCCTTAACAGTTCCCTTAACAGTTTCGTATTTCCTTTATGCTCCACTTGCAGCTGGTGTTCTCACATAACTTACACAGTCAGGAGTTAAATAATCTCTTGAAAATCAAAAGTAGAATTATGAGGCTCAATACATCAGTAGTAAATACAGTAAACACTTGACAAAAATACAGAGACAACTGGGGTGTGGAACCAGTTCATTTTCTTACATCTCTAAAAGCTTCAGTCTAATTAGGTTCGTTTTTTCACAAATAAGAATGGATTAGCTCAGTGCTATGGTAGCAGTCACATGACTAGATGGTTATATTTGTCAAGCATTTAATTTCTAGTCTTGTACTGGCCTCTCATTTACAAAGCTCATGGGAGACTACATGACTTTCTCATGAGCAGGAATCATGTTTACCCAAGTGCCAGGGTTAACCTAGAGTGAAACTGCCATCTTTGTAAATACTTCACAACATTTCAAAAATGGCATTCTGTCTGGGAGGAGAGGAAGATCATAGCCCATTTGTTCTCCCTCTTTTTTCCTAAAGGAGAGAGGGGAGAAGTCAAATTCTGTATTTTAGATAACAGAATTGTAATTCCTAACAGATTGCAATGTCATGTACTGAAAACATGGTCAGGAAACAACTATAAGCCCCTACATGTTCATATGACAAATATTTCACTGAAAAGTGGAGCAACATCAAAAAGCTAGAAAACAAATGGTCATTCTCAGCTCTGCCAGTGTTGCAGCTGTTATTCACACAGATTTAGATTAATCCATGACATACTTTTTCAGATGTTATCCCAGGTGTCAGTTAAGCAAGAAATCAGGCTCAGGATAACCAAAGAGTTTAAAATCTCCTTCAAATCGTGCATAGAGGCGTCTTATGTCTCTCTTGCTAATTCCTGAAAAGTACCGCTCTACTTTCGTTCTGTTGTACACTGTTATGCCTGGTGGGATTGTGGGGTAAGATACCAAGTGGTCTATGCCGGCTGCTTTCAAGATATACGGAGCATCGTCCTCCAGGGTTTCGTGGTGTCCAATCACACTGTACGTGATTTCACAGGGAGCACAAAGTTCCACATATGTTACCCAGTGAATGATGTGGTCACCAAACTGAACATCCAGCCACCGGTGATTGGGGTCCCCCAGGTAGCGCACAAAATCCTCAAACTGCAGCCCTTTGGTCTCTGTGCGATTCTTTCTGTATTTACGAATGATGCCGGGAGCAATTTCGTGCCGGTACCAAGGTTCAAACCGAGGATTGTGAACAAACTTGTCTTTAAATGCAGAAATAAGTCTTTCAAATGGATCTCTAACAATAAAAAACTTGAAGTATAAATTCAGTCTAAACAAAGAAAGAAAAAAATTAAAGGATTCAGCAAACTGTTTAGCATATACTTACAAAATGTACATAAACTCTGACCACAGACATAGCAACGTGAATCTTAGAGCACTTGCATCAATATTCTAATCAGTAGGACACAATTTCTATCTTACTAGCAGCTTTTACAAACAGGACAAAGAAGAAATAGCTCATCCTAATTTTCACATTTTATTCAAACTGGAGTTTAGCTTATCTCAATCCATAATAAACAGGAGACAAAAGACACTGAGAGCTCCAAGTTAAAGGTATTTGTAATGTCATGTGATCAAGCTCAAAAAGCAAAATACATAAGGACATGGGGACAAGTGCATTGGTGAAGATAAATGCATAAGAAGGCTGCATTTTTCACTGGCAGGCAGCTGGATTAATTGCTTCTTAAGTATAAAAAATTAAGAATGGTATTTTATTTTGATGTTTTGTCACGCTTTCAACAATGGCTGAGAGCACCACTGAAATATGAGACCACAGTTTTCAACAGAATTCCATGTATTACTGTGATACTGTAATATATATAATATTCTGTATTCAGATTATCTGTAGGAGGAATAAATTGAAAATAAAGCTTATTTCAATAAATAGCTAAGAAAAGAGATTTAGAGCCCAGTCCTGAAATAAAGATGGATAGACTGGATGTGGATGGACTCTTCAGCATGTACAGCACTTGAATCATACTTCAAATACTCTTGACTTACTCCTAGCCAGGCAGGGGTAGATAGAGGTCAGCAAACTAAATCAACAGATCCACACCATCCTGCTTTCCACACCTAAAACTCTGGTAATTTCAGATCCCAACCAAAGCCACATTACACACCTCCAGCATAGCTTCCATGCTGAGCAGAATGCAGCAACCCAAGCAATAATGGATTCGACTTCATATACCCTAACTAGGGCTCATTCCAGGTGAACAGTTCCTTTCTGCACAGCTGCTCACAGGGAGGAGAACAGACCCATGTTCTCAAGAGCGCAGTGACAATATTTTCCTTCACACAGTATTAACACAAACAAGTGACCCCAAATCTACAGGCACAGCTGTGATAAATGTCCTTGTGCCACTGCATGCAACAGGACACCTTGCACTGAGGTTTACTGGTGTGTGACACATGTATAAAGGACTGACTTTTCAGAATGGTGTAATGCATGCAAGTACATGCTTACAAGTGTCCACTGCCATCCTATGTCCTGTTCTCTCCATGCTGCCACCCCTAACAGGCATTATACATGGCATAGGCACTAGTAAAGATAAGAGCAGGCATAGTTAAAAATCTAGCCAAAGTGATGTAGAAGTTCTATTGAGGAGTATTTTTTGGCTCTGAAAATAACCAGAAGCACTTAAACAGGAAGAAAAAATGGTTCAGTTGAATGGAAAATATTCTGGGGCTAAGAAGCACTGACAATTTAATCTAACCAGTTCAGTCCCAGTAAGTCTGCTGCAATGACAATCTTACCTGTAGGCAGTAAGCTTTACCATACAAGACATCAGGATAGGCTGTCCAATTAAACCTTCAGTTCTGAAGGTCAACTATCTAACAGCTAGGTATGCATTGAATTACAGAAACCTTGTATCTCAGGGAGTTGGTTGGCTCACCTAACTACATCACAAATTATACTGGTGGTCTCCTTCAAAGCCAGCAGGAAGGCAGACAGCAACATCTGTGAGGATAACAGAATAGTGCCATAATACAAGTGGTGGAGCAGAAACCCTGCTGTCCTCAGTTTCAGAGGCAGACTTCAGCTGTACCCTTGATTGCTCATAACACCACGGACCTCAAACCCCTCTCACACTTGCTGGCAGAGGCACTTACCGTTTTTTAATTTCAGAGTCACTGAAAGAGGACAAGCGTGGAAGGCCATTCTTCTCATGATCATGTACAATGTTTTCTGGGATCTCTTCTATGGACGAAAATGCTCCTAGGTAAATCAAAATGAGAGAGCAAGTGATTCATTCAAGGGAAAAAAACAGTGAGCATAAGCAAGCATGTGTGCCTTTGGCTGACAGTTTTATGTCGTTCTCTTTATTTTTACCATTTAAAGTTACTATGTTTAAAACTGTTAAATTATGAGAGATTCTGACTGTGAAGCTGAAAACTGTTAAAATGCTTTAGGGTATGTGACATCAAGGTCCAAGACCAAATGGCCCCCAAATCCTCAGAAATGCATATTATGCAAATTTCATTGCAATTACATCTAAGCCTATAACTCCTCACATGTCAGTGTCCCCATTCTCTTTCCCTCTGCCGGCACATACAAATGGAGGAAGACTTTCAGGATTATCTCAGAAGAAGGAATCAGCTTTTTGGCTGAATTTCAACCACCACCAACAAAAAAAAAATGCTATGAGCTGCTTTTGGAACTGCTTCAATGCAAAAGTACTTTGCTTTCAGGATCCGTAAAGTTTTTTTAACAAGTATGCTGTGCTGAAACAAAAAATCCAATCAGAGAGTACTCCACAGATTAAAAGGCACTAAAATTAACAACATAAGTCTCCAGATATTCATTTCTGCAAGCACATGAGCTGACAAGAAAAATAGTATCACTTAACTCTGCTGCGTTCATTTTAGCATCCTGATCCTGGAAGGTTTTATGACCTTGAGAAACATCTCATGTGGCCCCTTGGCCTTCAGGCATAAGTCTTCCCACAACAGCATTGTTTCAGAATAACAACCTGCAACAAGCACAGGGTGCTACAAAACAATCCTGTCAAGTGAAAGCCTCTACAGCCTTCTTGTTTCCAGAACTGAAGTGAATAATACACACCAGTCAGCTGCTCAGTTTTTCAATTTTTTTTTTTTTCCTGGAATGAGCAGGGATGAGGGGTAGAGACTGGGGTTGTATTTTATCAGTTTCAGTTGTATTTTTTGGTGCCATAGGTGAATCGCATGTGGACAACAGATGTCAGATTAGACAGCTTCAGAAACCAATACCTTGCATTCGTTCAGAGAACATATTCAGTACAAGCAGCAGCAGAGTTAGCTCCCACACAGTGCCAAAGCTGCATCTCCCCATCCTGTACCTCCAAATATTACTTAGGTATTTGGACATAAACTATTCCCCCTCAAGTATCAGCCCTGCCTTCTGAGACTACCCAAAGAGGAGAAAGTTAGGTCAACCACAGGAGTAGCCTTCATCAGCAGACACCAGCTTAAGACAAGAGACCAGTGTTTACGTGCAAGCAATTTTCTATCATTATCCAACATGGCAGAACTAGGAAACTCAAGGTGAAAAGTTCCCTGCTGTTAAGACATGAATTATCCTCCACTCAGCACAGCCAATACATCCCTGCCCATCCTGAGGCATTCTTTGCATGTTATCTCTCAAATGCTGGTAAGAGCAGGTACTTCCAATGCACTCACACAGTTCTATATTTAACACTTTGAGTGTGGCTTTCATAGGTATTAAAAAGTATGCACATACATGGGTATGGGTGTATCTCTGCTAGATTTTTAGCTCACATCCATAGATGAATGATGAAATTAACACTGAAGTTTTTAATGTTAGTACTGCTTGCTAGAAAAGTTTTGCTGAGGGACGCAGCTCATTTGCTAATTTTTCAAACACACTAGTCCCTTTTTCCTTCTTTCACTATCTTTTATAACATATCTTTAGTGACCAAACTATTGCATTAAGCACCTCAGAATCTTAACTCTTATGATGGCTCACTGATAGAACACACACAAGATTTCAAAAATGCAGACCAACAGCAGCTGCCAACTGGCTTTCTTCATGGCTAAAATCCCTAGTTAAAAGTCACTGGTCTTTAGCTAGAAATTTCATATTATTGTTACTAAGGAATTACAGTACCTTGTCATATAGTTCCTAATTCTATAAATTAGTGCACCCTGTCAATGATAAGAAACCTACCTACCACATGCATATGGGTACTCTGCCATGACTCAAGTAACTTCTGAGCCAAGTAATAACATTATTTATTTTTACAGAAAGAACAGATCTCATTTTAAGGGGATGTTTTGAAAGGACTAGAAACAACTGTGATAAATGAAAAGCTGAAATTAAGTATCAGTGTACAGAAATGCAGAAAGAATCCGTTTTAGTTGCCCCAGTTAGAGCAATTCCATTTCCTCCTCCTCCTCAAAGAAACCCACACACCCACAGAAAAGTAGATACCATTTAAAACGATCAAGACTTTTTTCCACTGAGTGTTGCCCACTTTTGGCGTCTGACAAAACAGGATCTTGTGCTTGTCACACACAAATATTCGGTCCAAGACGAATTTGGAAACTGCGGCATGAGAGAGATCTCTCAATGCAGTGTCTCTGCAGACATTCCTGAGAAGCTCAAGTCTTTCCATATGAATAAGGGGTTGGTGGATCAGATTTCCTGAAAAAGCTTTTCCAGTTGGCTTTATGAAATGCAGAAGAGAAAGAAAAAAGCAAAGTTAAAGACTTCAGTTTTCAGATCAAATTCTAAAGTATAAAAATCCCCAAACTATGCACCTAATGACTCCCAGATTCATGATTAAAACATTGCTATGTATTAATTAAAGGAGTAGTCCAGAGTTTGCTTCCTGTGCTGCTGCTGTACACCAGTTCAACTCTTAAGACATTTTATGGTAGTATACAGCACTAAGAGCTTTTCCATACAACAATTTAAGTCTGCTGCACAGCAGCCGGGTCTTATCTGTGTGGATAAAACATGCCCTGATCAAATACTGCAACTCCCACAGAGTTTCAACAACCTGTAAGAAAGCTTCTGAGAGGTTGGGACAGGAATTTCAACATAAATTATGCTTTAAGCTCTGAGAAGATGGGGCTGACCCATGGTGTGACTCTTGGGGACGTTCTGTGTAGGCTAAGAGTTGGACTCGATGATCCTGTGGGTCCCTTCCAACTCAGAATATTTGTGACTCATCTGGCTGGAAAAAAATTTAGGATAAAAGGTCTGTGTTGTTGTGTTGTTTTCTAGCACCTGTAGGCATCCAGTGTTTCCATTTATCCAAGTTAAAATAAAATCAGGTGAATAGAAATGTGAACAATAAGCATCAGTGTGACAAACAAAAGAAGTAGCAGGATACATCTCCTCAAAAATGGATGAGCTGTTTCACATGTCTCATTTTTCTGAGACTAAGAGAGGAACCACAACCACCTCTTGCCTCACAACTAGTAGAGTGAGAGAAAAAAGGAACTTCTCTTATTAAGACGTGATGGGTAAATTTAAATTTATACAGACAAATTTTCACCTTTCCACTAACTTGACTGGCAATCCCCAATATCAATACAGACTAGGGGATGAACTGATTGAGACCAACCATGCCAAGGACTTGGGGATACTGATGAGTGAAAAATCGGATATGTGGTGGCAGTGTGCACTTGCAGCCCAGAAAGCCAACTGCACCCTGGGATGCATAAAAAAGCACCCTGGCCAGCAGGTCAAAGGAGGTGATTCTCTGCCTTTGCTCTACTGCCACCTGGAGTGCTGCATGCAGCCCTGGGGCCCCAGCACAGGAAAGACATGGACCTGTTAAGGGAAGGCCCAGAGGAGGCCATGAAGACGGTCAGGGATGGAGCACCTCTCCTACGAAGATAGGCTGAGACAGCTGCGGCTGCTCAGCCCAGAGAAGAAAAGGCTCCAGAACCTCACTGCAGCCCTTCAATGACTACACGGGGTTTGTAAGAAAGACAGACTTTTTACCAGGGCCTGTAGTGACAAGACAGGGGTAATGGTTTTCAACTGAAAAAAAATAGGTTTAGACATTAGGAAGGAATTGTTTTCTATGAAGGTGGTCAGGCACTAGAACATGTTACCCAGAGAAGCTGTGGGTGGCCCACCCCAGAAATGTTCAAGACCAGGTAGGATGGGGCTCTGAGCAACCTGGGCTAATGAAAGGTGTCCTCGTCCTTGGCAGAGGGCTTGGAACTACATGATCTTCAACACTCCTTTCCAACTCAAACCATTCCATGATTTTAAGTACAGTGTCCAAGCTACAGATGAAAAAAGAATTATTTTACTTGTCTCAACCTTCCATAAGGAAAAAATATTCTACTTTTTCTGTTTGTTACTCTTCTCTAATACCCCCTGCTCAGAATGTAATCTCAACAGTCTGTCAGATTATTGTATCTGTCCAAACAATTCTTTCTGCATGCAACCAAAATTAATGTTGTTATTCTACATTTCGTGCTGTCAGGAAGTCAAGTGGGAATTACTTTAGATCCAGAAACCTTATTATCCTCTTCCATACTAGTAAAGAAAGCTATTAAAACTCACTATATGTATCTGCCAGTCTTCCACTGAGCAAAGTGTTTTTCCTGAGTATTTTGAAGGTAACTTAAATTTCATGGTTTCGAAAAATGAAAACAAAAATAATCATATTTATACAGCTAACTTACCTTCCATGATGCATCACAAAAATACTTTAAACATAAGATGACTTATGTACTAATGCAAAAACAAAAAAAGCCCACTCTGCAACTGCTCTCAAGTTTACATTTGTATAAAGGAGTTTCAGAGTTTCATTGTCAATTTGCTGAAAGCACAGAACTACGCACCTAAAAGATCAACTGGTATTGACTACTATTGTGTTCATGTTCTACTTTGGAAAAATGCTGAAATGTGAAACACAAAGAACACAAAACATGAAAAAAAAAATTGATGCTGATAAAAAGAAACAGAGAGATTGGCAGAAATCTAAGAGAATAGAGAAGACACAAGCTTGCCCTCAAACAACCACAAGCCTGATCGCTATGGCAAGACTGAACACAAATAATCCAAAACTGGGCCATTATATTAAAAAGGCTAACAAAAACAACTGTCCTGACTTGATAAAGGAATACTGTAACAATTTTCTCCTAGAAATGGAAGCACATTAAGTTGAATCATTCAGATGAAACAAGACAGCAGGTTACTGTAACAAACCAGCTTTGTGAAGTTAAAATGAATTCTGTCAGTTCTATCTAAATAGAACAGTCTGAATAAATAATTCCTGTCTAGCAATTCATCTTAACAACAGGAAGCTCTTCCTTAATCTCATATTTTCTTCTACTCTTTAATACACATAACCCTTATCTCAACAGTATGCACCTGGAATTCTTCAGGCCAATGTTTTTCCTCTGGCACGTGTACGTCCTCCACTTTTGTCACAGCTGTCAGTATCAATGGCTCTTGCTTGGCACCATAGCCTAAAGAAGGGAGAGAGATAACAGCATTACAAAAGGTATGGGGAAAGCAACTATTTCTGCTTTACAACTACAACACAGGAAATTTACTTCCTGTATTAAGCTTACAAAACACTAGGACTTGTTTCTATATGGAAAGGTACTAGACAAGACAGACACAGACTATGAATATTTTAAAGGATGCACTCTGTGAGAATTTTGGATGCAACTTCATTTGAGTTTTATCAAAGAAACATACTCATTATATTTTACTTGGTTTTTTTGGTTGTTTGCTTTGCTTTTTTCTAAGAAGTGCAGATAGACATCAAAGTCTTGGATCCAAATAGTGCACTTGGATAGACAATTTGATATAACTATATGACTTCTGCATAGGAGATTTTTATTTTTCGATGAACTTGCCAAAGCATGTCCAAATAAAAAACTTAAATCTATCTATACCCCTTTATACTAATAGAAATGTTTCTTTTTTATATTAAATCTACAAGAAGAAAAGTGTCATTATGGACACCCTTTTATTTCTGTGGTGTTCTAAGTAAGCACCTATAACCAAACATAAATAAAAATCCCCTCTTTCCTTTATTACCAGACTGATGGCCTTCCTTAGAGATTCTCACAACAACAACCTCAGCTGATACTCTTGTTCTTCTTTAGTGATTTTAGGGCAACTAATAGTTTGAGACCAAATTAAAGCATGTAAGGAAGAACCCTTTTCATCTTTTGCATTTAGTATGGTACAGTAAAAGCAAAAAAAATAACACAAGGTTATGGCTTTAGCCTACACAGTGCAGAAAGATCAAAAATAATTTGAAGCGGCTTTCCCTAACTACAAAGCAAAAAGAACATAATTTCTCCCTGAAAATTTCTTTCCACCCATACTGGATTACTTTTCCCTTCATAGAGATTCTTCTATGAATGTTTCCTCATCTGCATCCACAGGGGCTTACTGTTTCATGGTTGAGAAAATGCGTGCACTGCCTATGTCCTTTTCTTCAGGGAGTACTCTACTCTGCCTACACTGGATTTTAACAAAGGGCTCGCAGGGAAAAGCAAGTTAAAACTTAAAGAAATGTAAGCATTCAAGCATTCAGAAACTGTAATTATTGCTGTGCACAGACTTACTTCATGGAGTTCTTCTGGAAAATACCAGTAATCTGATTCAGTGAAAGAGCAGCTTAACTATTTTTCCACTATCATTGTGTAGAACCATGCCTGTAGATGCTACTAGGAACGATGGACAGAAAACTGCTCCTTAAGAAGTTCCTATTGCTCATGCACCCAAGACATCAGTAAAAGGCTTAAACAGAAGAACATTGATTCATTGAGCATCTGCTGGTTTTATTCTATTTGCTAAGAAGACACATCCAAATAAGAAAAAATTTCTGACAAGTCATATTTTATTAATTCTAGAAGAACTTCTCCAGGATTTGCCATCCTGTTTGGACTTGCTCCAAAATTTTGTTGGTATATTCAAAGTATTTCCCTTCATTAGTTTTATTACAAACACTCCAACACATATGTATATAACCATTGTCACGCCTTTGCAGGACAAGCTTAAGAATTTATATATCATCTGCTCAGAGAACTATTCAAATGGAGTGGAAGATTCAGTATAGAAAAAAAACTTGGCAAGTCAAGATAATAAAAAGCAAGTAAATGCAGAGGCTATGCTCTAGCAATTATTTTTTTTTAACTACATTTTAATTTTCCTGACAAATTCTGATTAAAAGAACCACCCAAAGAATACCTGAGCCAGGAAACAAGAGTTGACATAGAGGGAAATACTGGAAGATATAACTACCTAACATAAGACTAGCTGATTTGCAGATGTACCAGGACAGAGCAGCTGGGTCCAAGAAAAGCTAGTTTAGTTTACAGATCTCCTCTGTAAGACTTGCTGAATAAATCTTCACATAGATGCATACTATATATAAAGTTACACCTAATGTATTTATCCATTATCAAGTTATTGAAAAATATGGCACAAGTGCCAATGTTTCAAAAATTACATTTTTTTTGCATGTCTTAGGAAGATGCAGAAACACAGATCTCTTAAGACTCAAAGTCATATCATCACCTTCACCCAAAACTCTCAGTAGGATGGCTTTGTAAGAGCATCTCTCCAGCAGACACAGAACTAACAGGCTGTGTGGTGTCATCAAATGGCTTAAATTCCTCATCATAATAACATCTCAGCTACTTAAGTTAAGCAAAAGCCTATAAGCTGTTTACAAGTCAAACAGGGGATAAAACTGAATTAATGCAAGAAGCAGGCCAGAGGTGGCTAGGCAAAGTGCATTGCAAATGAAATAAAATTTTCCACAGGTTTTACATAATGCCTCAGCCACAGGACAGTGACAAAAAGACACAAACTAGTATAATGTGAAATGAGCTTCTCAGTACCTTCTGAGTCTCTTCTGACTTTAAACAGGTAATACTGCTCTGTTGCTTTTGCTCGTAACTTCTACCCCAAGTAGATCACAAATACTGAAACTAAATGTACTGGAAAAAGCAGACCTACCAAGACAGCACTGCCAAACATGATCTCTTCAGTTCTTAACCATCAAAAAAATCTCCTGTGATGCAGATTTACAGACTTCTAGCAAGAAAATGAGCTGAATATCAGCACTGTCACTTTCAGAAATTTAGTTGGTCTGTTCTCAGTCCTACTGAAGAAGTAATAACATGCCAAGAACTACTTTTCATATAAAATAGTATTTTCGTGAAGCACTATTCAGTTTTCTGTTTCACATCAAACATTAAAGCTAAACTTACCATCTGGGTCTTTAAAAGTCAATGTGATAAACTTGCTAGCAACCATGAACATGAATATCACCCAAAAGCATGCAGCTAGCAGCAGCCACTGGTGGTGCATGTTGTCAGATGTGAGCCATATAAAGCTGGCACTTCCTGTTTTAAAGAGAAAAGATAGACACATTAATTATTTTTTGTTACAGTTTAGAAAAATACTTTCCATAACCAAAAAGAAAAGATTTTCATACATGTGTCTCATAAAACAGAGCAGTAGATTTCACTTTTTATTTTTTGTCCATTCAGCGGTATTTTTAACTAACCTTAAGGCTGAGGCAACGTAACCACTTGCTGCTATCCAAAGGAGTCTTCACTCCTTCACCCCTGTGTACCCATTCCTCCCTCCTGCTTGGGCTGGGAATAGCACTGTTGGTCTGAATGTTTCAGGAGACAAATCAAAAACCCCAACTTTTTTTAAGAAGAGTTTATTTTTTGATTCAGCTTGGCAAGACAGCCCATTGTAGGAAAGGGAGAATGAAGAAAGTTGTGCTCTCAGTGGTATGTGTAACATTAAACTACACTCGGTTATCCCAAGTCAGCTTATGGCATATAAAATAGACTCTTCCCCTCTCCAGCTACAGAAATTACAGGCTGGAAACTACCAATCTGGAACACTAAGCTTAAGCTGACCAAATATTTTTCAGTTTCCTTGCAGCAGTGCCTACTACCTGTAGCTGAATCAGAACTTCCTTAGGAGTGCAGGAAGGGTTACCCAAACACTTCAGAGTGCAGTTTTAATAAGCAAAGCAATCACCCACAGGAACTGACTGAATACAAGCAGTTCTATCCTGAATTTTGAAACTGCTATCTTAATAAATTATTCTCTATGACTGAAAGATTAAATATAAGGAAACCAATGACAAAGAAAGATTGAAGTTCCCAGCCACTAAGAGAAATGGAAAATTTTAAGCTATATCTTAAGCTGAATTTCCAACTTCTGATAGGCAATAGACACAGGGGTGTACACCAGGTATCTGCAAAAGCTCCACCGCAAATAAAAAAAAACAACTCACATCCAAAACCTACAAAAATACAGCACTATTGTCTCTACTGTTGCCGGAGAGATAAGACACCTGAGGGGCTGAACTCAGGTGCTGAAAAGAGTGAATGCTTCCTTTTGAGGACAAAAGCAACATAACATTCAAACATTTAACCAAAGAGGATCTAATACAAAAATCTCAAACAATGACATCCTCACAACAATCCTGTAACTAGCAACAGGATCAATCTCAGTCCTAAAGTAGCCACATGCAACTTCAATGAGAGCCACATCTGCATGGCTTGTCATCACAATTTCTATACAGCCATTAAAGTAAATTGCCAAGGAATACATTAAATGCCCTCATTCCCAGTTATGATGCAAAAAAAAAAAAGTTAGTTAATACTTCTAAGGAAGTATTTTTAAAACTTTTCAGTCATATACCAGGATTCCAGCTTCTTCATTCCCACAAAGCTTCAATAACAGAAGTAAGCCCGGTTTTGATGTTGTTTGCATGCTCATCTGCAACATCACTACTACTGCTACAGGTGGCAATTGCTTTTCCAACTAGCTTTTGCAATTGCTTTCCAGCAATACAAATGTTTCCAGGAAGAATTCTCTCCACAGCTGACAGCAGTGAACCATCTTCAGGATATGCTGAAAGCCTGTGCAGGCAGTCAAGCAGCTCAAAACAGACTTGGAACCCAAATAATGTATGCAAAATGGGTAAGAGGAAGAAAATAATTGAGTATCTCCAGTAAAAGGGAAAAAAATTAGCTAGTGGCAGTGTTCAGGCCTACTTTTATCTTCTCACTGCAACATTTTTCAGCTTGGCTTCTGAAAGTTCCTTGCTTTCCCCCTCTTCTGTCATGAGTCCATTTTTAAGTACTTCTAAAAACACCACACCTAGATATGAATTGTCTTTTGGACGACTACAGGTGCTACATTAAGACAATGTTTGTCATCTCCTGTTTATTGCTGCAATTCCCTGGCTGACAACTGAAACATGTTAATTCTTCATGATCTGGAAAACTGTTGACCATGAAAGGCAAATATCATAGAAACTCCATCAGACTGGCCTCTTTTCAGCTAAGTAGTTATTCAAAAGTTATTCCCATCCTACCACTGCACTAGTGCAAACCTGCCCTAAGATTCATGCTGAAAACCACCAGGTCTCAAAGGTCCTCATTTTTCAGTCTAGTATGAAATGCACTGTCTTCCATTTAAGCACTGAGATTTGTTACCTTTACTCTCAGACATCATATTCATTTCCAGCTCTCACAGAAGACAAAAATTCAGATTGGATATCAAGACAGAACTGTAGTAATGACACCTTTTACTTTTTAGGTAGCTCCGCTAAAACTATGAGAACTATTCAACATTCAAAACACTGAATGCAGCACACTGACAGAAACTTGCAGAGAACACTATGCAGAAGGAAAATCTCTATACTTCTGAAAAGCTGTTGCTGATGGTTAATGAAAAGTCTGGGCCAAACCTCTCTGCCCAATTCAGTATATGTGTTCTACATCTCTGTTAGTCTGCCCACTTCTATAACAATGATGGATGCACACCATTCAGTAAAGACTATTGATCTATATCCCCTTATGTAATTTATGTATTGGATTTCTAAGAAATTGTGTTAAATCACATGGGAAATGCAGTTCCTGTGTGCTCTGACCTGAAATGCAGTTAGTGGAGAGAGGACCCTGCTGCCAGGTCCTGTGCTGTAGGGACAGGAGAACATTTCAGCCAGTCACCTACAAGCAGTACAATTCTCACGTTAAGGACAGGGCTTACAGAGCAGGAAAGGGTCAGAACTGCAGACACATCCATAAGAACCACCACTTTTACCCTTCAAGAGGTAGAAGCTGAGAGGAAAACATTAAACAGTTTTGTCTACTCTTTTGTTTTTAATGTGCACAGGAAATCTGCAACCATACTCATGAGAGTAAGGGTCTTGTCAGAGAATCTGTCATCATGTAATTATGATATTACCACATTGTTACTCACTGTTAGCATCCTAAAGCACATCTGTATCAGCAGTTCATCAATGATCTCAAGAAGCAGAACTATTCAAAGTTACAGACAGAAGTACCTCAACCATTTATGCTCACTTAAATGCAATGATCAATACTTAAAAAAAAAATAATGTGCTTATGTCGTTTCTCTGTCTCTACCTTAATATTTTTATTGTTTCACATAGGGCAATTGCATTTCCTATTTTATCTCTAACCTTACTGTATTTCTGTTGTCTCTCCTGCACTTATTTTCTAGTAAATACATGTACTAGCTTCTGTTTTTTCTCTTTAAAAGGCACCTTCTGCTTCCAAAACAGTCTTCTATTTCTGGCTGTCTAAAGCACGATTTTTCTTTACAAGTAGACAAAAGCAAGAAACATGTTGAAGGTTTAGTCCATTTTCTCACAATTAAATACACAGATTTCTGGTTACTTTCTCCCTCTTATTGCAATTCTACACTTTTTAGCAGCACAATATCTCAAAACTCCTGTCCCCACCCATTTCTGTCCTTCTCTCTCAGAGCTACCACAAACTGTCACATAACCCTCAGATTAGGCAGACGAAAGGTTTTGCATGAGAAAAAAAATGGGATCACCAACACACAACACAAACATGAACCAAAGATCAAGACGTAGAATGGCAGGCTTGACTTGTGGCCTGCAAGTAATCTGCTACCTTGAATAAACACTCATTCTTTGTAGAAGACTGCTGTCTTCAAGTGAACGATGGGACAAAGTTTGAAAGATGTAAGCAGCATTAAAACTCAATGCCCAGTCTCTGCTCTGCAGTTTATGCTGCTTGCACAGGGGTTCCTTGGCAGGACAGTCCCTGCACACATCATCAATGGCAGTGACAGGCCAGGAGGCTCAAACTCCCAACTGCTTGTCCATCAGCACATGATGACTGATGGGACTGGAAACGGAACTAGTAAGGATGGCCAAGCAGCAGCTAACTGGGACAACCTAACCCGTTTTCATCAATGTTTCCTTTGTATTATCTTACAGGTAAGAAAACCTGCCCAATTTGTTATACTTTTAAAAAATCTCAGACTAACATATACCACAGACGCTCCTTTGGCAAGTCGGATGGTGCTACTAAACGTTGTAACATATATCATAACCGGCTGGTTCTTACCTAGGGCTCTCCTCCCCATGAGGGCACTAACCAGGCCTGCGTGTCTGCTCTTCCAGCTCCTGCTGGGGCCCGGAGCACTCCCTGCGCACGCAGTTCACCTGTCAGCAGGATGTGAACCAAGCACCAGGGCAGCAGCGCGGGCACCCGCTGCGGGACCCACCCGGGCCCGGGCCAGGCCCGGCGTGCGCCCTTCCCGCGGCCCCGGGCTGCGGCCGAGACCCTGCCTCGCCTCCCGCACGCCCTGCCCTGTCTGACAGACACCAGCTCCCACTCCAGCGGACACCCCACGCTCTTCACAGCTGGGAGAGGCAGCGGCTCCTCTTTCCCCTGCATCCAGGCTTCATGGGTGCTCCATTCATTCCGTAAGACCAGAGCGGTCCCCGCCAGGGCCGTGCTCTGACCGGCATGGGACAAGCCGAGGCAATGCTCAGTCCCAGCCCGGCTCCGGGCGCAAGAACCTGGGATGAACAGACATAAACTTTTCCCGTTCTGGAGACGGAGGACGAAGCTGGGCGGGCTTCCCCGGACAACACATGCCCGCAGCGCTCGCTGGCTTCCCCACCCGCCCCAGGGTGCCGGAGGAGCCTTTTCCTGGGGCTGGCGGCCGCCAGGCCTCCCCCCGTGACCCTGCCCGGCCCGTCCCCGGCTTACCGGCCCTCCAGCGTCGCTGACCCGCAGCCCCGGCCCGCGGCGGCGGGGTCCCGCCTCACTCGGCGGCACGGCCGGCCCGCTCGGGTGGCCCCGGCTGCCGGCGCATCCCTCCCGCCCGGCTGCGGGCGGCGGCGGCGCCTCCCCGGCCCCGCTCAGCCCCGGCCGCCGCCGCCTCCATTTCCTCCCGGGGCCGCGGGCAGGCCCCAGCCCCGCCGCCGGGAAGGGGAGGAAGGCGAAGGCCGCCGCGGAGACGGCCCGGTTCGGCTGCCAGAAGACGCAGCGCCGCACCCGGCCGCCCGAAGGCGGGAGGGAGAGGCAGGAATAGAGGGCGGGCTGGGCAGCTCTGCCCTCCCTCCTTCCCTCCTTGCACCGCCCCGCCTCTTCCCTCCTTCCCCTCGAGCGTGGTGTTCCAGTCGACTCGCGCGTATGCACTTGGATGCGTATGTTTGCCTTGTTACGTTTGGGTTTTTAAGTGTTGAAATATCTTTCCCAGGTCACTAACGCCCGTGTTTTAAAAAAATATATGTATCTGGAAATCACAGAATCATTTATATTTGTGATAATTGATAAAAGATTCGGGTTAATCACAAAAGCATTGAGGTTTGTATAAACCAGAATACTAAGCTCTGAAGTGAAGCATGGACACTAGATAAAGGAAATTATATGATAAAATCATTCTGTTTAAAATCACCTTGTTATGTTATATTATGTTATGTTTTTCAAATAAGTTGCATCTACTACCAGCTTGCAAAATCAGACTTCCCGATAGCCCTTCCTGCCATTGTCTGATCAATGCTGCCTATATATCAAGGATCAGACTTTCAGAATTTCGCTGGTGATTATCTACAAAGACCAAATGGTTATCTGTGAAACTGACTAGCGCCGGAGATTTTGCGAATTGAGATAAGGATGTTTATTCGACCACCACTGCTTACCTGTCAAAATTGTGACAGCTAAAAAACCAAAAATTATTGATTACAGCGGGAAACTATAGTATAAGAAGAGGCTGTGGGCTGCGGTTCAGTGGAGCATAGAGTGGGTGGTGACCTCTCACGTTCCCCAGCGCACTGCTTGCTCTGTTTATATCAAACAAAGCAATCTAAATTTTGTTGAATATCGAGACTTTTGTCTCTCTTTTATAAGCTATTGGAAAAGACCTCTAGGGTCTTTGAGTCCAACAGTTCCCCCAGCACTGCCAAGGCCACCACTAAACTGTGTCCCCAAGGGTCACAGCACTATGGTTTCTGAACACTTCAGGAAGGTGATTCCACCGTTGCCCTGGGCAGCCTGCGCCGATGTTTGATAACCTTTCCATGAAATAATTTTCCCAAAAAACTTGACCTAGATCTCCTCTGGTGCAACTTGAAGCTGCTTCCTCTAGTCCCATCACTTGCTACTTGGGACATGAAATCGGTCCTCGCCCGGCTACAGCCTCCTGTTAGGGAGTTAAAGAGATCAGTAGGCCCTTTCCATGTGACTCTCCCTCCCTCGGGCTTCTCCAAACACCTCTTACTATTTCTTCCATTTTCTGAAGCCCACCATCAGGCAGGAAAGTTGCCCTCGGTCAGGGAGAAATGAAACAATTCACCTAAAAGCAGCAGGCAGAGCCGGGCATTCCCCAACCGCTCACCCTGACATGGCAGACACAGGGTGGGTGTAGGCTCCAGGAGAAGAAAGCTGCTCTAAAGCACTGTGAAGATCAGCTGTACTGTGATGGCAGGTGTTGTCTGAATGCTGATGCAGCCTAGCCCGGGCTCCTTTTCCCCCAAAGGCACTCCATTGTGCGCACAGTCACTGCACACAGCTTTGCACTCAGTGCTCTGCTCACTGGAAAAGCAAAATGCTCACCTACAGGACTCCAATACCCACAAACCCCATCAAAACCAGGTGCTGGTGATGTGTCTCTTTTTAACTCTTATTTAAACAAGTCCTCTTGAGTGCACTCCTCCCTGATAGAGGAGGATTTAGACCCTCTGATCCATGCATTTTTAGACTTGACTACTGGGGGGTACTTTGCTGAAGCCTGATCAAGGAAGTCCAAGGTCATTGGTACAGAAACCATGGCCAACCTATGGAGTAGAATAGGCTTATGCAAATGTGTTAGCAACCACATGTTCAGTGCTATGCTGATGGTCTCCAGTGAAGCAGCAGAAGCATAGATCTCACTGGGAGCCAGTGGCCAAAAGCCAGTAATCAGAAGCTCAGTTCTCTGCTTGACTCTGTGTTTGCTTGTATCAGCACCTTGGGACATCACATCCTTTTGCGTCGCCCCCACCTCTGCCTGTGAAGTAGCAATGATGACAGTGACAGTTACCTTTTTGGCATAGCACATTGGAAATCTGTGGCTGTCACCAGCCTGAGTCTTGCACAGGCTAGAAAGCTGCTCCTTTCTTCAGGTTTCAGTGGTGACTGCAGTGGCAGCTACGCACGAATTTATTAATAAGCAGTCTCCAGCTGTGGAACCAATTCCTGCCAGGTTATCAGGCTCAACCTAGGAATTTTAACCTTTCAAGTATGTTGTTACTGACATGTATAATAATTAATCCAGTACAAAAGGGACCAATTTTCCAAATTAAGCCCAGTTAATAGGCTTTGTTGTCAGTAATCAGGCCTGAAAGTGTCTGATGTAGCTGAAGAATGTGTTGCATAGGCAACTGTACTGTTGGATTATACCATTGCTAGTTCAGGCCAACAGGATTCTTGCTACTAATAATGCTAAGCTGTAGTGGGGTTTAGTGCTTTAAATCGGCAGCAAAATCAATGTGTGAGTCTGGGTTCTTTTTAATACTAGAGAATTTTTGCATTTCCAGAACAATATAAAGGATAATTGAGCTGGTGAAAAGTCACCCTGCTCTCTCTAGAATATTCTAGAATGTCTTTCTCAGATAAAGGATGCTAAAGCCAATGGAAAGGATGTACCCATTTTTCTGTAAAGATATGGGCCTAGAGCTAAAAAATACATCTTAATAACATATTCAATGTTCATGCCACTAAAAAAATGGGGTGCATGCCCTAATACCTCTTGTGTATCTTTACTCCAGTTTTAACATTTATCGTGGAAGAGTCTTACGAAAGATCCACATTTGCAGCTTTGCCAGTCAGGGAAGACCAGGTGTGGCTCATTCAAGAATTTTAATAAGTTATCTGTCAGTGGCAAGCTGTCTTGACTGCCCTTAGTATAAGCTAATTCTAAATAGCATTTAAGCATACCAAAATGTTTAAATGAGCCCCTGTCTTTGACAAGATAAGTAATCATCCATACTGCAGTTTACATTTGAACACATCCAGCCTAATCACACTGAAAGAACCTTCATTTTCCTTGACTTTCCAAACTCATCCTATTCAGCAGAAGCCTAGGCTTGCCCATATTGTTAAACTTATGCTATTTTTTTTTTCTTTTTGCCGTTATTTCTGGTTTTAATCCACTATCAGTTACTAGGATTAGTCTTGGTAGCCCTTTTTAGTCCTGCTTTGTTTCCATAAGAGCTGACCTTAAGACAAGATACCTGTTCAGCATCAGGTACTCACAAAGATTTAAATAAATCTTATTTAAATCAGCAGGAAGGCATGCTTTTCCTAGTGCAGTGCCATTATTAGTGAAATCATCTGTCTGCTTCATAACTGCATTTTTGAGGCATGACTGATGACCAGAGGAGACCTCTTGTGTGTAAGTACCTTGGTTTACAGGTCAGACATGGCACCTTTGGTATGTAATACATTTATTAGGGTGTGATCTTCATCACCAGATTCTGTCTCTTTCTGGAACTTTATGGAACTTATTTAAATGTGGTTTGGGTTGATGCAAGATAGAATATATAGAATACTTTGTGGCCTCTACATTATTATGAGACACTGTGGAAATGAAAAAAAAAAAAAGGCAGACCAATGAATTCAGGGAGGTATAGCCTCATACAGATGCTGGATTTACTAATACAGCATAAATATGATATATAAAGTAGCATGTGTTTCCTGGATTATTTTGTTTTTATAAAATAACTTTAACAAAGTATAAAGTGCACGTCAAAACCAGCTCTTGCATAGGAAAGTTTAAGGTGTGTGGAGGAACTGGGGAGAGTTAGGGCTAATATATATAGCAAAATCATATTGGCTGTAGTAGGGGTAAAATCAAATCTGTAAGCAGCAAATGAGAGGTGTTCATTTGAAGATTAAGTTAACTTTTTATTTTGGGTTAGAAGTAAGTTTTACCTCATGATGAGTGCCTTGGAATTCTTAAATCTTTGCATATCATTACACCATTTGATTGCCCTTTGAGAAGGAGACAAAAAGTTTAGATTGAGGTAAGTAGGTCATTAGCTGAACCATCTAATTTATCTTATATTCTTCAGACGTATAGTCTGAGTTGGTAGTCTGAAAAAGGAAAACAGATTTGCAAAGTTTATTAATAGCAAAGAACCAAATGTGCTGCTAGGACTGGGCTAGAGTAGCTAAGAACTATATTTAATTATCAAATCAATGTCAATTAAAATTGAACCCAATGATTCAAAATTAATTATATGGGTCATAAAATGAGTGCAGCCAATCTGCAAATTATCATGTCAATGTAGCAAGATAAGTCAATTCTTTAAATAAAAATCAGAAATAACAATTGAATTTTAAGTCCCAGATATGGGTGTTTTCCAAAGTAGAGAAATTAAGACAATTGACTGAATCGCTTAGCGTTCAAAACTAGTTACTGTATTGCAAAGTGACCTGCTACCCTTTTTTAACCCTCCCCTTTTCCCATGGCCCGAATCAGACAGCTGGATTCAGCTGGCAGAGTCAAACTGGCAAGCAGACGAGTCTTAAATTCACCTGCTGCATTCCCCAAGACACAAATTATTTCGAGGTGACAAAGTTGCTGTGACCCTGCAGGTATGGTGCTCCGGGTTGCATCTGTGTCTTAGGCTTCAGTGTGTACCCATGCACCTGCCAATGCTGTGCCTTGACTCAAGAGGAGCTGCAAGATTGGCATTGCACAGATAGAGAGCACCAGAGCTGCTCTAGGCTCAGATAAAGAAGTAAGGCAGATTTTTAGGTGTTTG